GCAGTAGAGCTCACGCGAAAGTCAACAGCTGGCAGTTCATATTCTTTACCCTTATGTGTAACAGTACTTATGTTAACTTTATCAGGAACTCCTCGTAACTGCAATTTCTTAGAAAGTTTATCAGTGATCATTGAGCTTGCCGCTGCAGTGTCTAATAGTCCATAAGTGGAGAGTGAAGATCCATTTTCTCCTGTCACACGCACAGGAACAACTTTCAGTTTCACAAAACCACGCTTATTGTTCATTGTTGCAGTATTTACAGGTGTGTTGTCTGTCGAAGAGTTTCCATCTGACTTCTTGTCTTCATAATGTAGAAGTTTGTTGTGGCTGCTGGGGCTCTTACAGTCCTTCACATTGCAGCTAATCTTTGAAGTACAGTCTTTCTTGATATGAGTGTTAGATAAACATAGATAACATAATGAAGCAGTCCTTGCATATTTTCTCCTCCAATTCACACCCTTTGATAAGAACACAGTACAATAAGACAATTCATGCACTCCATTATGACATAATTGGCAAGATTCTTTGACTTGAGATGGAGTTTCTTGTTTTGCATCCGACAAAGGCTCCCTGGTTTTCTGAACTGGAGTTACTAGTGTTGCTATTCTGTTTCTTGGTGCAGTAACTGGTCTAACCTGTTGTCTATGAGTTGTCGATTTCATCTTGTTGTCACTCTTATGTCCATACACTGGGTCGTTTTCAGCTTGAGACTCTTCTGCTATAAAATCTGCTAGTTCTCTAAGTGTTGGTTCTTTACCATTGTTGCGCTCACGATAGGATTTAGCAGTTTTCCTCCATTTCCTTTGAAGTGGGTCAGGCAAACGATCATAGATACACTTTAAGTTAGTAGTACAGTTTAACTCATTTGAGTTAAGTTCGTTCATGGTGTTACAACAATTTTCAAGCTTATCTGACAGAATCAAAAGAGCAGCACCATCACCAGGTCTCAGCTTCTCTCCATAAATGACTGTAGACTTCAATGCTTCRACTATCATAGATGTTTGGCCAAATCTTCTATGCAATAAATCTAATGACAACTGACATGCATTAGGTAGTCCTTGATAGTTTTCAATAAGTTGACGGGCCTTTCCAGACGTATAACTTAGTAGATAGTTCATTTTCTCACCGTCCGTAAGGGAAACCCTACTTTCCACTTGCTCCTTAAAGTTGACACTAAATCTCAAATAGGTTGTTGGGTCACCATCAAATGGAACCGGTTTAGGAGGTGGTTGGGACATACGCAATTCCATTTTTTCCAAAAGAGATGTTTGTGGCAGCACACTTGAAGTTGCTGAGTTCAATTCAACATGTTGCTTTGGTGTAGAGAAGAATAAAGGTGTATTTACAGCAGAATGTTGCAAGGCAGAATTATTTGTGACATGTTTAGACTTGAGATCATGTTCCAATGCAGATCTGCGGGTGTCTCCAATACATGTGTTGTTAGCTCTAACAGGTTTAGACTCAAGATTCTGTTCCAATACAGTCTTGTTAATGTCTCCAATGTACCTTGGGCTAGCCACAGCACCTTTCGACTCAGGGTTGTCCAATACAGTCCCTTTAGTGCGTCCAATGCTTGTCGAGAAATATGCTGGTGGTTTAAATACTTCTGCTCCTGGATTCAATACAAAGGTGTGGTCCAAAACATGATTGCTTGGCGTAGATGGGCTGAGATTAATTTGTTCTTTATCATCATTAGGCRGTATGATTGGCTTACAAGGAGTTATCAAGTCAATTCTTTGATGATCATCATAATCAGGATCATCTGATCCCAAGTAYTGTTCATTTTCCTCATTCAATGCATCTTCATAAACCTTATTAACAGCAGCAGCAATTGAGAATTGAGCATTCAACTCAGCACGTTCGGCTTCCTTTCTGGCAGTTTCAACTTGTTCAAGCTTATCAAGTCTAGCCTTCATTTCAACCATTCTAGCCTTTGCTTCAATTGCCTTTTGTTTAGTTGAAGATGTTGTTGACCTCTTAGAAGTTTGGGAATTACGTCCAGATACACTTTTGAATCTCACAGAATTCCTCYCTTCACGTTTTTTCACTTTAACTGACTCCACCCATCTCTCTACCTCATTCATAAAGATGTCAATTTCATGTTGTGTGTCTTCATAGATAGTACTGTCAAGTGATTGACCCAAATCATTAAGTAACGGTTGTATTGCATCATGAATTTCCACAAAATGTCTAAAAAGTTTGTCTAGTTCAGGATATCCATTTTTTACAAGATCATAGTTTTCTTCATCAGTCATAARACCCTTAAATGACTCAATATTTGACCGTATGTTGGCTTTAATATGCTTTCTTTCTCTTAGAAGTTCTGAAAGTTTGTAGTTCTTACCCTTCTCGGTGAGTTTGGGTTGTCTCCTCAGTCCGGAGTCCCGACGTCCAATCCAAATTTCTTCGGCGACCACGCGGTCAGATTCTGATGTCTTACAACCATCATTTTCAGTAKTTTTAACGCCCGCTTCGCCTCGAGTTGCACCTTTCTCGGCTAGCGAATCCTCCATAATTGTAGAATAACATCAGACAAACGAAGAGTAATCCAAATATTCAAAGACAATCCATATTGTGTTGAGTCCAAGTCGTGCGAGAATGTGTGATACTGTTGACACTTATTAAGGAATCACTGACACTTAAAACCACTCACTTGCATCCATGAACATTTAATCAACTCCATGGTCTCCAATACAAGTTTCACAAAATGATTTCTACGTGATTATCCATTCCTTACATCGTCTGGGTCGTATCACACAGTGAGAATACGACAAACACAAAAAAA